TAAAACCCACGTCGGGCCCTGGGCCCTGGCCTTTGTTCCAGTGAACACCATTTTGGCTGGACTTGGACCCCTTGGCTCCCAACAGCTGGACATATGTCTTAGTGTCTTTCTTCTTGCCATAGGTTAAGCTGGAAGTGGTAGATTGGAATTAAGGCACTAGAATTCCAATAACTTCTCCTTGGGATTACAGGTGTAAACCTTCCTGGACAGAGAGGAGGGCAGGAAAGGGTTCTCTATAACAGTATATCCACCATGACAATGAAACCAGGCCAGGCAGTGTCTTACCAGTGTTACATAGGAGAGATCACTGTTTTTGAAAAATAAACAGTTTAAAAAAGAAAAAAAGAAAAAGAAACAGTTCATAGTGAAATGTAAATACTTGCTGAAGTTCTCACATATTAGACTATACTAAAAACTACTGGAGAATTTAGAAGTAGTATAGATAAGTTTTCTGGTCCAATAAAGGAGCAGAATATAGGAAAAAATAAAAGTGGCCTTTTTATTTAAAGGACATGGAGAAGAGCCCACAACCAACAAGGGTTTGGCCTTTTCCTTTGCCCGGATATGGGGAGTGGGGTATATGTGACCTTTGACCAGAGGTGGTGCTTGGGGTGAACCCTGATGATGCACGAGGAACTGATTGGAATTTTCTTCACGTGCACTGGGAAAGGAAGGAGGGAGCTGTAATCAGGAAGAAGGAAGTGACCATCAGGGTAAGCATCCCTGAGTTGGCCTTCCACCATGCTGAACTGCCATAATGTCCTGTAATTTATTCTAGGGCAAAGCTCTTTCATTCCCATCTTTTTATTGTTAGGAAAAGGTGAAGTCTCTCCTTTACTGCTTCCTGATGAACAGGGGCATCATTTGGGGTTTAGGAGGGTCAACGGGATGACGGTTGATGCCCATTGTAGAAGCTGGTACCAGGTGTTTTAGCCAGGACAACTTTATTGTTGGTGAATGCTCACATCCTAGATTGGAGAAATAAAAAGACAAGGTGCTATGGGGAGGAAGGCCACTATCATATTTAAGGAGCCAGGAGAGGTAGAAGAAAAGGTGCCCTTGATCCAAATGTATCGTTCCATCAGGGCCATGGTGAGGAAAAATCTGGAAAATGAGCATGGAGTTGGTAGGGCTAAAGTTACAGGAGGCAATTATCCCCCATCCAAAAGGGTTAAAGTAAAAGTGTAGGAGGACTTGTCCTTGGCCCAGGGATTGAGCTGAAGGGAAGGGGAACCATGAGAAATGTAAGGCCTGACAGTTGAATCACATTTGGGAAGTTGAGAGAAAGGGTGGAGAGGGCCATGGCTGTGTCACTAACGGGAGATGAGAGCCTAGACCCACAGGGTCTCATGTTTAACTAAACAGCTGAGGGTAGAGAGAACTAAGACAGTTGTTATCTAGAACAGCATGAAGATGATCTTACGCATGATGAGGGAGTCTTTAGGAAAGACTGCCCAGAGTCCGACTGTAAAAAAATAATCAATAGAATTTAAGGGATCAGGAACCAAATAGGATAACAAAACATGACTTAGCCTGAAAGTTGTGGCTGTGGGGCCTTGGTGAGATGGAGATGGGAGATAGCAGATGAGATGACAATCAAATGTGTAGAGTCAGGGGAGTTAGGGTTAGGAGGGCACCGCCTAGCTGGAGTGGTGTGGAACCAGGATGGCAGTCCAGCAACCTTGACCACCATTGGAGTTCCGAGGAAGATCAAGTAGGAGCAACTCCATTTTGGTTGTAGTCCTGTTGAGAGATCTGAGAAACAAAGGTTGGACCATTATCTGACTGGATACTCTGAGGTAAACCAAACCTTGGGACGATTTCTTGCACAGGACCTTAGTAACTATACCAGCAGTCTCCCTGGCTGTGGGAAAGGCTTCTATCCATCCTGAAAAAGTACAAACAAAGGTGAGAAGATATTGAAAGTTCTGTGGTGGGGCATGTGTGTAAAATCTATCTGCCAGTCCTGACCAGGGCTGTGTCCACAACATTGATAAGCAGCAAAGGAAGGGGTGCTATGTGTCCCTGAGGAGAGGTTCTAATGTAGAGACCTGAGTGTGTCTGGGTCAGTCTGATAAACACAAAGGAATCCTGACAGTCAGTGTGAGGGGAGATGGTAAAAAAAAAAAAAGGCATCTTTAAGATCCAGGACTGTGACGTGAGAGGCGGAGGGAGGGATATGAGAGAGTTTGGCACCACCGGGTGAATTGGGGTAACAGCATGAGTGATTGCCCTAAGGTCTTATACCAGAGAATGGACTTGATTACCAGGAGAATGGGAGTATTGTAGGGTGAATAGATAGGTTTAACAAAACCATTGTCTAAAGGTTATAGCAACTGTAACTCATTGGCTCTTAGGTTCTTTTGTTGATGGACATTATATAAATTTTTGTTTAAAAATTATTATTTGACTGGTGACCTTGTATTGGTATGATCTGAATCTCCTGGCTGGAGCACAAGAAAAAGACATCTGGATCTGAAAGAAAACACTTGTCATCATAAACAGTCCCAATTTTACATTTGAAGGCATGAATATACCATCAGATCAGCAACAATGAATTGTGTTAGCCATATGAACTTTAGTTGAGGTGTCTTCCATAAGGCTATGGAGATTATAGGGGCTTCCAATTAATGAACAAGAGCTGGTTAATGTTACCAGGTGGCCACTTTCTTATTCATCAGTTGAAGTCCTGTCCAAACTCTCCTCACCCCAAAGGATTTTGTTTAACCAGTTTTAACATCATTTTTGATCAGCTGGCAACCTAGGTGGAAGCATGCTTTTTAAATCTATAACACAAATAAATCTTGATTAAATGATCTGAAAATGCAAAAGAAAAGGAAAAAAGTTGTTGAGCTGAAATAAAAAGGAACAGCTGTTTTTAGAACAGACAAATGGACAAACATGAACAGATGATTTGTACAGTATAAACAGACTGGACAAACAGACAACAGATATACAGACTGACGACATACACACTGACAAATGTCTTACAAAATCAGAGTACACTCAAATATATTTGACCAATTTGAATTATAGTAAATAGACTAGTGTGAACCCTTTTGTAGGTTAATTAATAGAAATCTCTTGAAATAAGAATAGCAAAAAGGAACCTAATTTATGGTTACTCTGAGATCAGTCGTCAAGGGAAAAGGACATGAATATGAACTAGACCCTTGGGACCAGCCTGTTCCCAAAGGGGGAATAGGGATTGAAGGTGAGAAGCTTGTGAAATGGGAGGCCACTAAGCAGCCAACCACCCAGCAGGCATCTGTGGGCAGTTACCAAGTGATCAACCACAAAATGGCTACTCGTCACCATGTGAGAGGGAAGCACAAGATGGTGGCTAGTTACCACGAGACCCACAACAAGATGGCTGCTGTCAGTTACATGGTCAGGGAGCACAAGATGGTGACTGGTCATCATGTGACCTGCAAAAAGATGGCTGCTGCTGCTCCCACAATGAGGGACTGCAAGATGGTGGCCATTTACCCTGTGACCTGTTGCAAGGAGGGAGCACACTGTCACATGGCGGAGGACTGCATGATGGTGGCTGTCCTCCATGTTAGCTGCAGCAAGATGGTTGCTGAAGACCATGTAGTATGGAATTGCAAGATGGTGGTGGAATATCACGTGGCCTGCTAGGTGGCTGAAATACCCAAGATTGAGTATGGTGAGCTGGCTGGGAAAATGACAACGCAAGAGAAGGGGACAAAAAAGAAGAGCCATCCAATGGAATAGATGGCTCAGGTGGAGGGGACTGAGAAATCTGAGATGGGGAGGATGAGAGGCCACTGGGGTTAGGGAAGAGGATGACTCATGGGGCACAGAAACCTCTGGCTGAGAGGCTGTGGGTTTGGTGTTGGGGATCCAGGGGAGGAGAAAGACAGGAGCCGTATCATCTAAGGGGTCTGGTGGCGAGGGAGGGAGAGATCCTGCAGGAGCAGAGCGAGCCAGAAGTATCTGGGCCATCACAGAAGACAGAGCGAGAGAAGGACACGTCCTCAAAGTGTCCTCAAAGTGAAAAGGGGCTGAAAAGGAGGGGTTGTTGCCAACTTATCACCATTGTGACAGAGTATAAATAAAAGATCAGATTTGGTGGGTACTGGGGACTAAATTCATGACTTCAAGCTGGCCAAGCAGGTACTTATGCCTGCTGAGCTAAATCCCAAGGCCCCAAGCTTTTTGGTTTTTTATAGCCTTTTTGAGGCCAAGAGCACCAAAGTTATGAACCAACACCTCAAAGGTGTGTTTCTGGGGGACAGGACCCCATGACCAAATAAGTGAGCTGAGAGAACAACTTCACCCTGGGGATGTAAGAGCTTTAGCTCCCCCCAAGGAATGTGGAAGCTGTCCTGGATCACAACTATCAAAGGAATTTGTGGCCTGTTTTGAAAGTGTGACCCAGAAGGTCCCAACACTCCTTATGGCTGTCACAGATGAGTGCAGGGCGGGGTCCCAGAGAACAAGAGGGTAACAGTGTTGCCTTGGGCTATCCTGTCCAAGGAGCATGAAAACTGCTCTTTATCCAGGGATGGCATCGGATAGGTTTTCTGACACAAGCTTGCTAATTTTAGGAATGGAAACGGAAAACCCCGGACAGCAGCTCACCTATGATGAATGAGCAGGGTCGGTGTTGCATGCGGATTAGAGGTAGCAAATAAACAGGTCCCAGAGGAAGGAAAGGTAGTTTGCAGGCTGGGAGCTCGAACTGGGAGGACTCCCAGGAGCCAGCGCCCAAGCCTCACGGCACCAAAACGTTAGTTTTCTGGTGCAATAAGGGAGCAGAATATAAGAAAAAATAAAAGTGGGCTTTTTATTTAAAGGAGGTGGAGAGGAGCCCACAACCAGCAAGGGTTTGGCTTTCTCCTCTGCCCGGATGCATTGACAACAGCATTGATGACGTGCCAGGAGCTGATTGGGATTTTCTTGGCCCGCACAGGGAAGGGAAGAAGGAAGTTGTAATGGGAAGAAAGGGGAAGTGACCGGCAGGGTAAGCATCCCCGATTTGGCCTTCAACCATGTTGAGTACCACCATAATGTCCTGTAATTTATTCTAGGGCAAAACTCTTTCAGCAAGCAACGAGTATATTAAAATTCTTTTTTTCTCCAGTGTTAGGCTGGAGCCCAGGACCTCTCACAGGCTTTGCAAGCGCTCAGCATTAAGCTGCATACACTCTCAACCTTGAAAGCTCTTCATACCATTCCCACAAATTGTCTAAAGGTTTAAAGTCATTTTCAGGTAACAAGAAAAATGTATAGACATTCATTTGGTTCAAAGAGACTAGGCTACGTGTGGTGATGCACGCCTGTAATCCCAGCACTTGGAAGGCTGAGGCAGGAGGATTTCCATGAGTTGGAGGACAGCCTGAATTACATAGCAAGACCCTGTCTCATCAAAACAAAACAAACGATGTAGCCTATCCCACTAGGCAGAAAGGGCCCATACAGGAAAGCAGGGCAGCGCTGGAGCCCCCACTTCTGCTGGGTCCTGGCAACTGGCCAGAAAAACCTGAGCTGCTAAATTCCATTTTTACCAGTTGTGAAGAAGTCAGCTGAGTTGGGACATGAGGAAACCTGGCTGTTTGGCAAAGGCAACGAATCATCCTCAGAATCAGACAGGATCGTGTGGGTCATTGTGCTCCACCTGCATACAGATGGCCAGCAGCTGGGGTCAGGGTGGTCGTGAGCCTCTTCCCCAGGACCCTGCACCAAATGGTGACAAACCACAATGGAGAGGGGAGTCCATGGCCAGAGGGCCTGGCTGCAGAGGACAAGGACGGATGGGAAGGAATGTGAAGCCACTGGGGAATGGTAAGGAAATCTTATTTATTTTATTTTTATTTTTATTTTTATTTTTGCAGGGCTGAGGATGGAACCCAGGGTCTCATGAACACTAAGCAAGTCTCCACCATGAGCCACATCCCAGCCTTTTTCTCTTGAGACAAGATGTCACTATACTGCCCACACTGGCCTCGAACCCGTGAGCCCTGATTCGGCCTAAGCACCCTGAGGTGCTGGGCTCACAGGCATTCCACAGTCCTCAGCAAGGCATTCTGGATTGTCCTTCACGTCCCGCAGGTGATGACATGGCTGATTTCTTGCCTTCTTACTCCAGAGACCAGGCAATGTGCCAGCAATGGGGTACAAGCCTGTGATCCCAGGGCTCTGGAGGCCGAAGCAGGACTGTAAACTCAGAGCCAGACTGGATGACGACAGTTGACCCATTTTAAAAGCTGAGGATGTAGCTCAGTGCTGGAGAGCATTGTCTGACATGCACAGGACCCTAGATTCAGTCCCAGGGATGGGAAAAAACAGAGGTTTCAGCCATTCGCTCAGCACATGGTTATTAGGTACCAAGCAGGCTGGGGAACAGGGCTAGACTCCGAATTGCTGGAAGAATTGCTCACATCTGCCTGCACAGACTTTGAGTCTGGCAGACTGAGACCTTCAACAGAAATCAGTGTGGGATCACAAATTGCGAAGGGAAAAGGCACGGCGCTGTGAGATAGAATCTCAAGTTAGCGGTTTGAGAAAACCTGTCTGGGACAGTGTCACAAGCCTGAAACCTGAAGGGCAAACAGGAGAGAGTTAGAGGAGCACGGGCAGCAATTTAGGGAAGCGAAAATGAGAAACCACCCTGGCGTGAGAGTGAGCTGGGCCATTTGGGGGCACAGGACCGGTATGGTGTGATTCTGGGGCCCTTGGGGCTTCTGGGGTGTGATGATGTCAAAGAGACCCAGTGAGACAGGGCGCTGTGTGAGCTGTGCAGAGCTCTGGGTTTTACTCCTAAGTGCGGTGGGTTGATAACCACAGAGTAACTGGATTGAAATTTAAGTTTTAAAAAGCCGTCCTGCTCTGTGAAAAATAAGTCTGAAGGGACAGAGTAAAGATGGGGGGATCTCCTTAGGGGTATTGCCATAACTCAGACAGAGGTACAGCGGCTCGGACTCCGCCAACACAGAGGGGTAGAAAGGCCGGATGGAACCAAGGGATGTTTTGATGGGGCCAGCAGGGGACAGAACAAGATGGAGCACTTCACTGAAAATATCTGCTTGAGCAACCAAGCAGATGAGGTGGAAAGAGGGGAAAGACCAGGAAAAGGGCTGGGAGTTCAGGATACAAATTAACTGCCGAGCGTGGTGGTGCTCGCCTGTAATCCCAGCACTCTGGAGGCTGAGGCAGGAGGATCATCAGGAGTTGGAGGCCAGCTTGGGCTACATAGAGAGTTCAGACCCAACCTGAACTGCAGTAAGACCCTGTCCCAAAAAAGTAAAATAAAAGCGAAGGACTGGGGGAGGGGCAGTCACTGGGGTGCTGGAACACTTGCCTTCCATGCCTAAACCCCAGGATTTGGTGCGCAGCACAGGAAGGAAAAGAAAAAAGAAAGGAGCGGAAAAGACTTCGTAGGAAATGTGTATGGGAGAATTAAAGAGGGTGGAAAGACCGGGAATAGATACCTGGGCCTGGGCCAAGACCTGAGGACGCCTCCCAGAGAACAGAGGGGAAGGAGACTGACTGGGAAGGAGGCCAGGAGTGCCCCTGGGGTGGCAGGAGTACAGTTGGCTGGCCCAGGGTTTCTGCAGGGTGACACAAGGCCCGAGTCCCCGCTGGACTTTGCGCGGTCAGCGTGCACATGGGCACATGGACACGCTGGGAGGCCGGACCGGGCTCAAGCGCTGGTGATGGCTGATGGTGGGAAGCAGGGCAACCAAGGGCTGCTGTTGGGAGCCGCGGCCGAGCCCGGTCGCCTTACTTGGCGGACGTGAGGCCTGTAAGAAAGAGCAAAGCCTGAGCTAGATTACCCCTCCCATCGAGTGTGCTAAGATGGCGCTTATCTCCTGCTTCCTGCTTGGTAAACAACCCGCTCTGTAAGATAGTCTGCCTAGCAACAACTGATGTTAGCCAATCAGCCCGCATCGCGCGCTTTGAACTGATTGGCCACTGTTACCCTATAAAAGTGAGTGCCTCTCCCGCCACGAGAGAAGAAGCACGGAAGGAGCCGCGGAGAGCGGACCGGTAGAGGCTTCGGGACAGACTGTAGAGAAGAAGCACGGAAGGAGCCGCGGAGAGCGGACCGGTAGAGGCTTTGGGACAGACTGTAGAGAAGAAGCACGGAAGGAGCCGCGGGGAGCGGACCGGTTGAGGCTTCGGCCGGGTAGGATCCCGGGGCAGACTGTATAAGGAGAGAATAAAGAAAAGCCTGACCACCGCCAGATCTTGTCGCGTGTTCTTCCTGCCGGCCAGGAGCGACACCGACAGGCTGCCGTGTCTTCATCCGGCCTCCCTGGCCAGATCCTCCCTGAAATCCCCACTGGTTCATAAAAAGCCCTTCTCGGGCCTGTCAGGAAGCCTTACCTACAAGAGGGGAGCACGGGGAGCACATCTGCCTGGGCAACTGATGGCGCCCTGGGCCTCGGCCGGCAGTGGGAGGCCTGGGTGGCTCAGGACCACCCCTCACACCATGGTGCACCTGGGAGGAAGGAAAAGCTGCTGGGCCTCACCTGATGGAATTCACAACCAGTCAATCAATGGATCAACTGCTGGCTCAGGGTTTGGGGCTCAGGCCGGCCTCACAGGAGTCGCACGCAAGACAAGCCCCGGGCACCGAGATCATCGCAGCTGACCACCATGGGGTATCCCTGGGCCACAGGGGCTGCCTCAGGGTGGTTTCTCCTGTCAGACACCAACCTCATGACCTGCGGGAGGAGGAAAGGGAGAAAGCTGGGTGTTAACTGGAGGAAATCCTGAGTCCCCGGAGGTGAGTCCTTGAGCGTGATCAGCTCCTTTCTTGTCCCTATCCCTCTTCCCACTTGAACACTGGGAACAGAGCCAGCCTTGAACCTTCCTGAGGTGCTCTAAGTCTGAGCAGAGATGCTGGGTCCTGCTCAGAGGGTCCCACCAGCACCCAGAGGACCCAGGAATGGGGGGAGCTTCAGTGGTAACTTCCAGCCCCCAGGGTCCCCTCTTATCCAAGTGCTAAAATCCTACTCCACTGCACCCTCGTTATGAGGGGTTAGGACCAACAGCCCTCTGAAGTAACCTGATTAATGGGCAGCCCTGAGGGGGAGACTACAGAAAACAAGTGAGTTCAGGAGAGGAAAGTGGGGAACCAGAGCAAAGTCCGGCGGTGGACAGAGGTCACAGTGAACCAGGTCCTGGACCCCGGTGACCTGGCTAGGGATGGGACAGACTGCTGTGGGGGGGGGATCCCTTTCCCTGCTGCAAGCCCTGACTGCTGGTGTTTAGTCAGCAGATCCTTGGCCAATCCTGGAGGCATCATTATTAAAGCATCCTCAAGGCTCTGCCTGTGGAGTGCTGTACCAGCTGGGGGCAAGGGACAGTGTTCAATAGAGAGCAGTCCCACACCCTCCTCGGAGAGAGACTGGCTAGCCATGCGAGGTAAACAAGAAAAATTAACATACACGTCACGTGCGCACGCGCACACACGCACACACACACAGGCACGCACACACAAAGGGGAGGTGTCTCGGTTACTTTTCGCTTGTTGCTGAAACAGAATACCTGACACCCAAAATTAGGGAAGGGAAGGTTTATTTCTTATAGTTCTTGGGGGTTTCATCCATACTCAGGGGCTGCAAGGCAGAATGGCACCCAAACAGCAAAGCACCAACCAGGCAAGAGACAGAAAAGGCAGCACTCACACCACCAATCCCAGTGCTAGACAGTGAACCAATCATGAGCCCTAGATTCAGCCAAGTCCATGATTGCATAAGGCTTGGGGAGTGGCATCTGAACAAACCATAACAGCAGGATATACCTTTTTTTTTATTTTTTTTTTTTGAGACGGTCTTTCCATGCAATTCAGGCTAGCCTTGAACTCACTATGTAGTGCAGGCTGGTTTCAAACTCCCAGCAATCCTCCTCTCTCAGCCATCTGATTGCTGGAATTACAGGTTATAATATGCTTTTTTCTGTTTCTTCCTTTTATTATTTTATTTATTCATCAGAGATGAGGAGTTGAGACATAGATTTTGTTTGTTTTTCATCATACTGGGGATTGAACCCAGAGTCTTGCCCATGCTGGACAAGCACTCTACCACGGAGTTACCCCCAAGCTCCTTATGTGGGGTGGCGGGGGGTCCACTGGAGATCAAGCCTATTGAGCCCAGGGCCTTCACAGTGAGCTACTTTCCCAGAACTTTTTTTTTTTTGAGAGTCACCAACTCAACAAATATAACAGAGATTGCTTATTATGTGAAACAACAATCAGATTCTTCTGTAAAACCCAGTGGACTATAATCCAAATAAGAAATAAGAAAATTTGTTCAGTGTGGTGGCACTACCTGTAATCCTAGCACTCAGGAGGCTGAGGCAGGAAGACTAATACAAGTTTAAGGCCAGCCACGGCCACATGGTGAGTCCAAAGCCACCCTAAACTATATATTAAGATCCTATTGAAGGAATAAAGAAGGAAAGAAGGCTCTCTAATTCTCTATTAGAAATAAACTCAAACTGGGCATGGTGGCACATGCCTATAATCAAAGACTCTGGGTACCCTAGTCCCACGCACACCCACATAACACACTGGTTAAGGCACATATTTCAAGTATGTTTTCACTGTTCTTTTTTGCAGTGACAGGAACTGAACACAGGACCTGTATATGCTAAACAAGTGCTCTAGCCTCTCATTACACCTGCAGGTCTCTTCACTAGTTTGTAAACATTTCCTTTCTACTTTTAAATAAGAACATTATGAAGTTCCCAAGGCCTGATAAAATGGTCACCAAAGTACACCTTGGACTTTGGGTAGATCCCATGTTATACTGTTTTGCACCATGAAGGTCTTTTTTCATACATAAATACGATTTTCCCAACTGGACCACAAATTCTTCCAGGTCGAAAGCCCCTTCCTCATCCACCATGAACATTCTTAAAATCTCTCAGACTTTGATGTAAATTAGATCTCACACCTGTAATCCCAGCACTCAGGAGGCTGAGACAGGAGGATTGTTGAGAGTTTGAGACCAGCCTGGACTACAAAGTGAGCTCAAGGCCAGGCAAAACCGAATGATGAGACTCTGTCTCAAAAAGACACCAGATAAATAAATAGAATCTCAGTGGACCATCGCTCTCAGGAGAAGCAGGTAAGTGTAAGGGACCTTCCTTGGCAAGGTGCTCTGAGAAGCTGAGATTCACGCTGCCCTTGCCTTGGTACCCTGAGGGTGACAGGGGCCTGTGGCACTCTGACAGATGCTGGGGGTGCTGCCTAGAGGCCCCCACTGGGCTGGTCTCCCCCTCTCCATTGCCTTTGCTGACATCTGTGCTCAGCATTCACACACTTCGTGCCCTGAACTATGAGAAAGTCGAGCTGACACGGCAGAGCTCGGGGACAGATGTGGCCAGGCTCAGAACATTGCTGACAGGACAGAGTCAGGGGCTGCTGGTGGCAGGGGGCAGTGTCCTCTGCAACATGGGTGAGTGTGACAGAGCCTGCGGAGGACAGGACGGGCCTGGACCTCGGCCTCACCCTTCCCTGGCCAGTGTCCAGTGTGTGACCGCAGGCCACTCAATTTGCTCCTGGATTCCACTTCTGTCCTGCTTTAAAGAGGTAACACTGTCTTTGGAGCCTTGAGCTGGTTGTCTATAAAACAATGATTCAAACATTTCCCAGGTCAAGTGTGTTGACACACAGCCATAATCCCAGCATTCAGGAGGCTGAGACATGGGGAATGCCATGAACCGGAGGCCAGCCTGGGCTGCATAGTGAGTTCAAGGCCAGCCCAGACTGTACAGTGAGACCCTGAAGTAGCTCAGCTCTTGTTTATGAGCTACTTGCTGTGTCCTTTGGCCCTTCCTCTCTGCACTGCCCTTACACATGCCAAGTAGGCACTGTGCCAGGGAGCCATGGCCACAGGTCCCTCGTGGCCCTTTCCACCTTATCTCCTCTCACCTTTCCTCCCCCGACCCCACACTGTTCAGGGTGAAGTTCCAAAACTCCTCAGAAAGAGACACTTGAGCAGTAAGAGACAGAAAGAGCCTCGAAGACTGCGGCACAGTAGCCTGAGCTGTAGCACCAGCACCACTGCCAGAGGCTCAGATAGGAGGATCACTTGAGCTCAGGGGCTTGAGCCCAACCTGGGCTATACAGAGAGACTCCATCTGAGAAAGAAAGGATGGGGGAGCATATCTGTTATGGCTGTGTCTGGAAGCCCCCCACCAAGCCACCTATGTGATCGTAGATGGGGCTTTTTCAGAGGTGGCTAGATCTGGAGTGTGGGACTGATTCAGGGTGCAGTGCTGGGATTAGGAGGCAGTGTGGTTACTAGATGGGTCTACTAATTGGATGGGCACCGCCCTAATCCTGTAGTGAAAATGCAATATAAGGTGATATGGGGGAAGAAACTCCCAACCTACTGGATGTCCTGTACCTGTTCGTGTTCTCTACAATCGAAGAATGAATTTTAGGAACAATGGAGGTTAAGAGCAGAATATTTATTGAGAGAAAGAAAACTTCTGAGAGAGACAGAAGGGGTCCTGAGCAGGTTGCCAAAGACCCTGCCTTTTCTAGGGATTTTATAGAGTGAAACCCCAAGGTGAAGCAGATCTAAAGTGGGGGAAGATGGGAACTCGAAAGGTGGGCATGAGGTGGGACAGAACTATGGTCAACCAGTTTGCTGACTAAATCGAGATCAAATGGGGAATCCAGTTGCATAGCAAGTGGGCATCAATAAATTCTCAGCCTGCGCATCAGTAGGCTCACTACCGTTTACCAGAGAGGCAAGCTGGTTGCTTGGTTTCCCAGCACCCTAAGTTCCAACATAGCGCGAGTCTCAGGAGACGCTGGTGGTTCTCCCCCTGGGGTGGCCACAGCATGCCACACCACAGCCCATTACCGGTGAGGCCAAATTTTGTTTATTGGTGGTTTTTTTTTTTTGAGGTAGGGTTTCATTATATGGTTCAGGCTGGCTTTGAACTCACTTTGTAGCCCACACTGGCCTCAAAATCGTGACAATTCTCCTGCCTCAGCCTCCAAATGCTGAGATAACAGGTATGTGCCACTGTGCCCGGCTTGTTTGATCTTTTGTCTTGAAGTCTGGCCCAGGAGGTGTCTGTCTCCCCCACAATCGGATGATATCTGGCCTCTTGCATGGGCTCCTTCAAGGGCCCACCCCTGTCTGACTGCCTATAACAAAGGGACAGAAAAAGGCCAGTGTGACTTGTTGCTTTGCTGCCTTCTGGTCACCATGAACTG